ACATTCTTGTTCGTACACCGAAGTTTTACAGTATTTTGTACTCAAGCCTAGATTTACTTAGAATTCTGTAAAATTTCAATTCGAAAACCTACAAATTATTTATTTTACTTTTTATTTGGAAACCGAGTTTCCACTGTGTTTTGTATTCATGTACTCTATGAAATTTTTATATAACATTCTTGTTCATATACCGAAGTTTTACAGTATTTTGTACTCAAGCCTAGAATTCTGTAAAATCTCTGTTTGAAAACGTAGGAAATTTTTATATTACACTTTTATCAAAAATCGAGGTACCCCTTTGTTTTCTACTCGAGTTTACTATTACTTAAAATTATGTATAATTTCTGCTTGAAAACCTTTAGAGATTTTTTTATAGAGAACTGAATCCGAGTCCTTCTTTTACTTAGTATTCTGCATAATTTCTTCTCAAAAACCTAGGAGTTTTTGTGTTTCATTTATTGTTTGGAGTTTACATTGTATTAAGTACAATTTGTTTAATATCTTTAAGCAGTTTGATTAACATTTTTTATTGTGTTAATCAAAGTGCCTAAAGATAATTTAATATAAATTGAAAGGATTCATGTACACATATAACTCGATTTCTAAGGTTTTGTACATCATATTATTTCATTAAGCTTCATACAAATTGAAAAGCATCCTTATATATACTATAAATCCATTGTTACGAGCCGCTTTTCATTCCAATATCCGAGCGATTCCATAAAATAATCATTAAACTGAAAACTTCAAACGAACAATATTAATACAAAAGTTAATTAAGTGCCTCGACTCATCGATATTATATTTGAACCTATGAAATAATAATAATAATAAAACAACCCTTTCATGAACTTTTTACATCTCGTCGAACGCATTTTGTATTCAAAGCGTTCACGTGTAAACTCTCGCAATATTTATTTTTTTTACCTTCTACGCTCCTTCTGGAAATCGTTTAGCTCTGTGTATGGAAATGGAAAAATCGCTCACGTCATTGGAAATATAAATAAGATTCGGGAAATCTTTGGGCAAGTTTCCATTTACACTTTTATGTACGATCATATTTACATATCTGGAAGCCAACATTTTTTTTTTGTTTGTTTTACGTAAACATCTCTATATATTTCTATGTGTTGGAGATGTGGGCCAAGTGGTTTTTCTTTAGCAAACAATAAGGAATTATTTGATCATTGCCTCAAGTTTTTTTTGGTCGTTAATGCTTTCAATGTAATTGGCAATTTTTCCAAGTACATCCGACGCCTTTAATGCATTATAGTAGGACGACTTTGATGGACGCTCCTCCGCAAAGGGAAAACAATTCCAGCTGGGATCGATTTTACAGATGTACGTAGGTAGGAGACAGCACAAAGGGAGAAGATCCACGAAAATAGAATGGTGAAAATAAGAACATTCGCAGTGGAGGAATCTATTAAAATGAGGATGTTGAAAATGATATAAAAAGAAAAGCACGCTTTAAAGTGCCTCAGGAAACCACCCTCTTTTCTGCAATTTCCCTCAGTTGTTATTGCTCCATCCTGCCGGATTAACTCCACACTTTATAGCGTATTTTATTCCATGCCGATTCGCATTTACCGTTCGATTCCTTTCGAAACGGACTGCCAGATTTCTGTTTGGGGGAGCGTCCGGTTTCCGAATTAATTCGGCGGCAATAAGGCCCTGATTGAATAAGAAGTTACGTGAAGCCTAATCGGATCAACCCTCGTCCGAAATTACGAAAGGCCAAAGTAGACGTCGAAAATTATTTGCGACGCTAAATTGATCTTCATGCTGCTCGGGCCCGGGATTAATATTTAAAGAACGACCTTGGAACGACCCGTACTTTTTTTTTCTTCTTTCGTCTTGATGTGACGGCAGTATCGATCGATCCAATGGACTCATTCAATTGAATATAATTTAAATGCTATAAAGATGTTTCATGCTTGTACAACAAATATTTTCAGTTCAGTTAGCTTAAAATTTCTATTTAACACAATCTTTATTTCAGAACATATTTTTATATAATTGAAATCTCTTTATCAATAGATTTCTAGAAAAATGAAAAAAATATTATTAAGTTAATCTACTTTAAGTTATTAAACTGAACCCACCGAAATTTCCTACCTATTCCTACCGCGAGCGGTCAAATGATATAGAATGAGATTTTAACAAATTGCATAGTAAACAAAATATTTTCTTTAATTAGAAACGTTTTATGTACATTTTATGTGTTTTGAGCACTTTTTTTGCAAATTACAATGTTTTTTATTACACATTTTCTTCTAAATTCTAAACGAAATTTCAAAATCTGTCATTTGACCACTCATTAGTATATTTTTAATACATATAAAAATATATTTTTTTTTATAGTTTGGTATTACAGTTAATGTATTGAATTTATTATCGGTCAATAAGAAACAAGAAATGTTTAAAATTGGGTTTTATTGTTGTTTTTACTTAAATATGAGTCACAATGACAACTGTCGCCTTGTATCAAATTTGAGATACACTGATATATAGTATTAGGCTTATACAAATGTAACATCAACACTGATGACTACTAATTCAATCATTATTTTCTATCAACATTTAAAATCCATCCTAATACAGAAGGTACATTAATTAAAGTAAATAATTAATGAAAAATGTGATACACAATACATAAAACATATTTATGGAAGAGATATAACTCAATGTCAGGGAAGAAAAGAAAATATTTGATTTCTGAAAACCGTTTTTTTTTAAAGTAATTTATATAAATCGAAAGCCGGTTATTTTTTCAACTAAAATTCGGTTTTTAAACCTACACTGACAATATAAAAATAAATTATTTTTTTGATTATAAACATAAATATTTTGACACAAAATCTCCTCTAACATAAAACGAGAATATTGTTAAATACTAAGCGTTATGAAACAAACAGAAAATCGGTAAGAAATTAAAATTTATTCTTGAATCCCTAACAATAACTTTAAAAAATGCTATGAAAAAATCTGTTTACAAATATGTACAAGAACCTGAAGAAGTGACTTCCTAAAACAGTAAAAAAGAGTTTTTAGTATTGAAGAGTAAAAATAGAAGAACTAAAAATTGTACATGCAAGACAAGATCTTTAGACATTCTTTCCTATTTAACATTATTTTTTGAGAAAAAGAAAGAATAAATTAATATTTTATTGTTAATTATTGTAATTGACATGTTTTATGTAATATTCTCGATTTTTTTTTGTGAAAATTCGAAAACCGGTTTATTGGAAAGTTGAGATTCGAAAACCGGTTTTTTAAAGTGGGTTTTTGTATAAACGCTAATAAATATGTAGGGTTGTGTTAATGTATTTCTTAGTAGTTAGTATAAGCTAGAAAGCAAGTGAACATCATGTTTATAATTATATCGAAACTATTAAAAACTATAATAATATTAGTATCTAATTGAACATTATTTTATATAATAGTTAAAGAACTTTTAGAATTTCGTTATTAAGTTCACGTTATTTATTTTTAGATGAAAAGCGGGACCAACTAGGAGGCAAAAGTTCTCAAAGTGTATTTCGAAATTGGATTAAAACCATATATATATGCTCTCGCCGCTCTTAATGCAATTCATATATGTAACATGTATATTCATACTTTCCATTGCCTTCTCGAACTTCATAAAACTCGCGCGTTTTATCAACTTTGATGGAACGCAAACGTACGTAATCATATTTTGATTGGGATATTAATTACTTACGAAAATGTTATAATATTGATTTATTATAAATTAAATAAATAAAAAAATGAAATTATATAAAAAAATACAATTTTACTTTGCACAAATCAATTTTTAATTAATCTCTTACAAAATTTGTCCTCTGATAATTTCTATTTCGCTGAATGCAGACGATTTGCGAATGAAGTAATCGCATTGACGGTGCTTCGATTTCTGCATCGTTAACGAATATCCTCAGAGTTGCGGTTGTTGCATTGATTTTGTCCCTTATTTTTACAAAACGTTACGTAAAGAACTACAGATATGTGTGTACACTCCAAAGAGTTTTCAGTCGGAATCGGAAGATTTTTTTTACGTTTTGGCATCGAAGGAGAAAGATCAGAACTACGAAAGGAACGAAAGCAAAGGGAGAAATGTATCTGCCAAATTGGATTCAGCCTGCTCGTACGAATAAATCATTCGGAGATAAAAAGAAATCAACAACAGAGAGTCCCTCTATTTTTATCTTCTAAATTAAATTTAAGGTTGGCCATGTATCGTGATCTAATTTATATGTTATTTTTTTCTTTGGTTCGAGGTAATTTTGTTCAATCAACTGGATTGAAATCTTGATTTAATGGAACTATTAATAATATATTTGGGAAACCACGCAATTCCGATGAAAGAGATAAAGAAGTCCTTTATTTTGTTCAATGCAATCAGATTTTCTTTCCAATATTAACTAAATTAAAAGTTTTCTTCTTAAAGCAGTTTTTAAATTTGGAACAAAATTAAGAAAATCCTTATTTATAACACTAAAGTATTCTAATTATATAAGATTAACAAAGTTATTCATTGTTTAATTAAACATTAGAAAGTGTCAACAAACGTCAATTTTCCGATGAAAGCTGACTAAGTACAATGCACACATCAAGTATAATGTTGTGTGAAAAGTGTATTTTGAAGTTTGTACAAGTTATTTAACTAAATTTAATGAATCCAACATATGACAACTACTCATTATGAAGAAAGTTGTAGTTGTAATTTCTTATGATCTTTATCATGGTTATGATAATGGCAAATGTCAGAAAAACTGACAGCTGCAATTATACAATTCATTACCATGGTTACCAAATTATGTGACTCATTTTAATTACTGTCATTTGGAAAATATTGACACATGTCATTCATACTGTTGATAATTCTATTGATAAAATTTCTTGTTCTGTGTTGATATTTTCGAAGAGCTCGTAAACATTTCATATAAAATACATTTTTCTTATTTATTTATACAATATATGTTCTTTATTGTTTACAGTGGACACGACTTCTCAATACGATGCAATAAGGGCGTACTTGAAGGAGCTAGACATAGCGGACAACGTATGGATTGGCTTGTCGAGGGGAAGTGACACTACCAATTTCACGTGGAGGTAAGAAATCGCACGATCATGACGGCAAAACCAGTCTTCCTCCTTACTTTATTCCTGAGGACCTCTCTCGTACACGTAGACGGATCGTGGGGAAGGGGGTAACTCAAGAGGAGGCCATCAACCTCCCTTCGATAACGTGCACCAACCGTCTTAGTCAACCTCCTCCTCCTCCTAACCGCTCCCCGTTTTCCCCACTAAAAAATCTCAACATTATCCACACCATCATGGATTCATTCCACTCTCGTTCGAACACTCAAGTTTAACAGGATGAGAAAAAAGGTGTATTTGGATATGAATATCACATTTCCATGGTTACCTCTGCAGTTTAGTGAAGACGCGACGTGTTTTTTTGATGAAATTTAGTAGAATTGTATAATGTTACTCTACATCCACACTACGCGTGATATGAGACATAAATGTTACTTATTTTTATGAACCACTATGAAAATTTTATTACCAAATGTTCTAAGTATTTGGCAGATAACAAATAATATTTTAATATATTATTAATAATTGTATACAAAATATATTAGACACAAATATAGTTAAAAAAAAAATAAATCAATACAAAATGCAAAATATGTAATTAGATGCATAAAAAGTATTAGAAATTCAAAATTGAATTAATAACACAAAGAAAACAAAAAATAGTTTGGAATGTTATATCGTTTATTTTTACTACTATTGTAAATTTTAAATCTGTTAACTCAATTAATCTAACCTAGAAAAAAATAAGATTATATGAAGTTAGTTTACTTTAATGTAATTTAAATTAACTTAACTTTATCCTAATCTAAACGAAACAAACCAAATCTAATAAAGTAATTTGGTTGTGTAGTATAATAAGATACTTACTTAATCTAACCCAATCTAATTTAACCTGTATCTACCTTAATCTATTCTAGTCAAATAAGGTAAATTAGTTCTGTTATATAATAAGCCTATTACTTTATAAAATCTGGCTCATTGCTAATGAACTTCCTTTAATATTACGTATTAAGATACCAAATGATGATAATATTTCTTATAATTTCGTCTCAATTATCATTCGCATCTTATCAATTAGTTTGCTTATTATGTTATGTAATTACGATATAACGCTGCTTCCACGCTATGATTCACATTACATATAAATGTGTGTCAGATGTACCAACTGTTATATACCCATAGCTATATCTTGATCTAGTTGTATCTTAATGTAATTGGATGTAAGGATAATCAAAAGCAGTTGGTATTAAACTAATGTTTCATGTCATTGATAGTGTGTACGCAGCATTATATGAAAACACAGAATTATTTTTTTCCATATATAAAATTAGATGCATTTAGTGATTTGCTAATGCTTTGCTTTGCAGTTCTGTACCAACTATTATATACCCATAGCAACAAGCTGTATCTCAGCCTTCTAGTTGTATCTTAATGTCATTGGATGCAGGGATAATCAAAAGCAGTTGGTAGTAAACTAATGTTTCATATCATTGATAGTGTGTGCGCAGCATTATATGAAAACACAGAATTATTTTTTTCCATATAAAAATTAGATGCATTTAGTGGTTTGCTTTGCAGTTCTGTACCAACTATTATATACCCATAGCAACAAGCTGTATCTCAGCCTTCTAGTTGTATCTTAATGTCATTGGATGTAAGGATAATCAAAAGCAGTTGGTATTAAGCTAATGTTTCATGTCATTGATAGTGTGTACGCAGCATTATAAAAAAACATAGAATTCTTCTCATTTTCTATATAAAAATTAGATGCATTCAGTGGTTTGCTAATGGCTTTGCAGTTCTGTTGGCTATATACGTATGAAGTAGTACTATGGCGAGAAATTATGGAACGAACCTTTCCGTGCTTGAAACTAGTATATATTCCCGGTCTCAGCAATTTGTAAAGCTTTTAAAGCCGAAGCTGAAACATAAATACGAGGCCCATAAACGAAGCAAAGCGAAGGGTACGGAAAGAGGGAGAGTAGAGAGAAAAAACCCGGGAATGTTGGGACAAGAAGTTCTTTTGAACACCCTCGAAACGACGAGAATTTAAACGAGTCTCTGCGGCTTTAAACAGTGGATAATTAAATTAAACTTAAAGTGTGACAGTTGAGAGAGAAAAAAAAAACGAAACAATAGATATATAAACGTAAATAAATAAACACACGACCATTTCGTTTTTCGCTCCGTTTGGGATGTCTTTGCGTCCGCAGGGACCAATTAAATGTTTCCGGTTTCGAGTCGTGTTTGTACTTTTATCTTCTTTGATCCTCCGGCATCCGCAGATCGCGTAGGTACTGTAGTCAAATACGCATTTTGAAGTTGCAGCGTCTTCGAACCGCCACCCCATTTCACCCTGAGGAAATCAAGTTTCAACATGGGATAATTTATCACGTTTGCCAGTAAAGGAAGGAAGAAATGTGTGTGTGCGAGAGAGCAAGTGGAGAAAAAGGATCCGGAAAAGCGTCAATATTAAAAAGTTTCCCATTATTTGTCGGATGCTGATAAAATCGTATGCAGAATCAATAGATGGGATTGCGTTATCCTCCGGATAGCGGCACGCCAACTGGATTTACATAATGGTAGAAGCAACCCTCGGTTAGGTCCCCGTTCAGTTAACATTTATAAAGAGCGGATGGAATTTTCAGGAGGTTTCTATCCAATTAGCACTGTTTGTCCTAATACTAATTGCTCTAATTATTTTGGGCACTCTCTCTCTCTCTCATCATTTCTGCTGTCCCAGCAAAACCGCCGACTGGATTTCTGCACACCTGCAGCACCTTTCACTTGTTTAATCCTGCAAATCTCTGGTCTCTTATACACATATATATATAAAGATATATATATATATATATTGCTACGTTAATTTAATCCGGGATTTAAATATGCCGACCCGTTGGTACGAATATGGGGCGGATAATGGACGGGCGCTAATTCTTGATCTGTCAAAAACAAAAACGTTTCGTGGACCGAAGTTCTACACTAAATCTTCAACGGAGTTTCGCTAATCCGAATAATTACCATCGAACCACGCTCTTTTTGCTGACATTCCAAAAGAAGTATTCAAGTTTCCAACAACTTCCAATTAAGCAAAATCAGATGATTCATGACTTTTCTTCTTTAAACCTTTAAAAAATACTTTTTAAAACATGCACGTACACTTAGATTTCTTACAATAATTTTGTAAAATTTAATGATTTTTGTTATTGTTATTGTTACCAAATTTTCTTTCCACATTCTCAAGTATTTACACTTATTTTTATTTAAACTTAATACATTTTCAAGCTGTATAAAAACTATGAATACTATTGCTTTTAAATATTTTACAATTACTCTTAAATTTCTGATTGCTTACATTTCTTTCTATTAATTCAAATTTTTCTATATTTGTAACTGTTGTAATTGAAAACTGTGATTGAAGTATTGAAGTTTTGATGAAAAAATATTAAAAAATTATACTGAAATATAATATTGATATTTGTTGATAACTTACAAAGTTTGTCAATTCATAAAAGTTAAACAAGACAGATGGGTGATCAATACACATTATCAAATTTATTTGTAATGAACAAATCAACTGTGAAAAAAATTAAATAAAAATAAGTTCAACTATTTCAACCCAAAGTGATTAATACCGAAATCTTTCTACAAATTTATAGTCAGCACACATTTCTGACAAGTGTACCAACTAATAACTATATAAATATGACAGCTAAGACTTCACCGAAATCCATTATAAATAATATTAGTTGGTACACCTGACATATTTTCATAACCTACATTATGATGCAATATATTAAATCAAGAGTCTTCTGTAATTAAATAAACCAGGGATTGTCAACTTTTTTGAAGCAAAGAACCATTTTTAAGATATTACCTACTAGTGAAATGATTATCGCAATCAATTTCTCATCAAAGGAACAGCGACTTTAAAAATACTTTATTTCTTATTAAATATTGAAGAAAATAGTGTATAAATTAATAATTTACATTAACTTTACATCTATTATATAGTTTTTACCGTTTACCTGTTTTTTTTTGGTTCAATACGGTAATGGAAATATGGATGGTCGTAAAAATGCGGCTTAACGTTTTATTATCTCAATTTATTGGACATTAAAAGTACTTTTAATTTATCTGCACCGGCCCAGAAAATTGGACGAGATAAATCCGTTAATGAACGTCGTAAATGTCGCTGCATCGATAATAAAACGGAGGGAAATAGTAATAGTGGACGTGAAATAAACGTCGATGAGTTTGCTGCGGATGTCAACTTCAATTGCTCTTAGTTGAACATCATGAAGAGGAATTGTTTTACTACAAGTATAGTTATTACGATTCAATTTAAATATTAATAAGTTTATTTTATAATAGTTTATTTGATTTATTTTGTATTTTATAAGTGTTACACGAATACCAATTGCAGAATGAGCCAATAATAACTAGTTTTAATTATGATTGGTATTTGACAGTTAAATTTAAATGACACAAGTATTTGTAAAGCACACTTTAATTAACAAAATCAACTCTTAATATCATTTAGTGTCAACTAAATTAAAAAAAAAACTTTTTATTTAAATAACTATTAATAATTTATTGAATGTTTCCCTTATAAAATATGGAAAACCAAAGTTATTCTACTTTGAAATCCAAATATTGATGATACTTCAAGGACGTGTTTGCTCGCCGACTTATATATCTCCACTACTTTGCTCCTACTGAAAGGGTCTATATTCCAAGCCCGACAACCGAAAGACCGTCTATTGAAATCCCGACGTTCAAAATCCCGACTGTATTGAAATCCCGACTATATCAAAATCTCGACAACAATATTCCTGACTGTATCAGAATCTCGACAACCATAATCCCGACAAACATAATCCCGACTATATTAAAATCACGACTGTATCAAAATCCCAACTATATCGAAAATTTTTACAATAACATTTTTAAATTATTTTGGAGCGTAGTCACCATGTGCTACACTTTTATTATTAATAACAATAAATTAT